TACTAATATGTCATTCATTCACTTACACATAATAAAGATGTTTCTTGAATAAAAAGCAACTAGTTAGCTCTCAACTCAAAGCACAATATATTTTACTTGTGATAGTTATATTAAGATACCCATTGTGCTTTTTTACGTACTTCCTGTTGCATCATACAAAATATTTTTAAAAGGGCATATAGTCAAAAGTTTAAAATTTTATAGAGAATAACCATTTTTAACCTTTTACCAGGGATATTAGGGATATTCTTTTCTTTTTTTTAAGATTTATTTATTTATGCATATAGAACTGGGGTACAGGCCAGAGAGGCGCAGGTGTGGTGAGAGGATTCACCAGAGACAGAGTGGGGAGTAGAACAGGCAGACTGACAAAGTACATTGCTGAGGGGAGCAGCCGACAGGACAGGAGAGGTCTGCCGTGCCATGTGGGATCACCTCCGCGGCGGGGATTGAACTCATGCTGAAGAGGCTTTAGCTTCTTAGTGCTGTGCTTTAACTCACTGCACCACCAGGGAGGGATATTCTTAAGTGAAATTGAATGTTTTTTTTTACTTAAAGTACCTGGCAGTACAAAATCATACAAGGTACCCTGCCTACACTCTTGCTAAGGTGCAGCATTTTTAACGTTTTATCACTCTGCACCATCAGTGCAATATCAATACATAACATAATTTTGGTACTATTACGAAGTATCTTTTACTGTGGGACCCCTAACAGAGTCTCAAAGATACGAGGGGGCCAAAGAACTTACTCTAAGAGCAGATTTCTAAGGAGAGGACATGTATTATAACAAATACAGTAAAGATTTTCCTAACTAGTTTCCTCTTAACTGACCTGCTAGTGATACTAATTTTTCTTTATTACACATATAACCTGGTTACAAGATGCTGAATGTTAACATGATAGGTACTCTCTTGGTAAGTCCAGTCATTTCTGCTCCAGTAGAGTTATGTGCTTAAGTAAGTCGTATTTGTTCTCAAGCCAGTTGATGCCAGTTTTACTAATACCTGTAATTACATAATTTTAATATTATTATGTAAATAGATTAGTATGAGTTCAAAAAGGAAAAGAATTAATGTTTCAAAACTATCTTAAATGCTTTGGAACAATTAACTATAAAAAATTGCTTTAATATTGTGGATAAGATTTGTAAAAGTTAAGGGAAAAACTCACAAAATTCTTAAAGAATTCTACATTCTTTCACAAGTATTGTCTCAAGAAACCAAAGCTAGAAATTTTTCCCCCATTTTTGTTTTATATGTATTTACATAGTTTTTCATTTTTATATGATGTCTGATTTCTCCTCTCAGGTGTTTTCCTTATAAAATTACCACCACCAAGACACCTGCAAACCATCATCACAGACTCTTGGTCTCTTCCCTCCCAGTTTTATCCCTTCCCCTCCCTCTCCCCTGATGAATGTTTCCAGTTTATAGTTTGCTGCTAGTTTTGTCTTTGTTTTCCTGATCCCTTGTATGCTTTCCCTCTGTTCCTCCTATAAGTGAAACCATCTGATTTTGTTTGCCTTCTGACTTATTTCACTGAGCATAATCCCTTCCAGCTCCATCCATTTTGCTGCAAATGGCCTAAGTTTATCTTGTTTGTTTGCTGAGTAATATTCCATTGTGTGTGTGTATATATATCAAAATTTATATAGGTCATGATATCTAAAGGTATAGACATAGCCATCACATCTTTTTGATCCAGTCATATGTTTTGGGGCATTTAAATTCTAGGAGTGGGATTGCTGGGCCATATGACAGATCCGTTTTTAGTAATTTGAGCTACTAAACAGTTTTCCATAGTGGTTGGCCTAGTCTGCCGTCCCATCCAAAGCTGGAAATAGTGATGATGTGCATTCTCAATTAACACCTATATTATTTTTTTAATGATTTCTCCCTCTTAATTAGCTTTCCCAGTAAGGTAAGTTTAGAAACTGGTCAGGATCACTTTCAATAGATAATTTCTTTGCTGCTACTGATGAGTTAGGCAAAGTTCCTTTTGTTTACATAACAGTAAAACATGTTCTCTTTCATGATGTCTGTGTTAAGATTGTATTAGTATAAGACTTAGGTAACCTTTTAGGAAAATGACTATTATGTGTCGCGTTTCATAATGGTATAGTGGTGAATCTGAAGGTACCATAAACCTTTTTTGAATTATTGCTACTATTTTTGTCGAATTGGAAACTGCTTGAATAAACAACTGTGTGAGGGAGCATGGAATTTTTCATGGAAATTTGCGTAAGAATATTTCCTAAAGATCAAAAATTACATTAAATGTTTGATTATCAGGCCTCCCTAGTGTTGCAGTGGGTTAAAGTGCAGCACTATGAAGACACTGCTGCATGAGTTCGATCCCCAGCCAGGGAGCTGATCCACATATGTCACAGCACACCTCTCCTGTCTTGCCTGCTGTTCCTTTTAGCAGTCTATTTCAGTAGATCTTCCTGTTCTGCTCCCTACTCTGTCTCTGGTGAATCCTCTCACCTCCCCCACCTCTGGCCTATCCCCCAGTTCTTGAACGCATAAGTAAATAAATCCTTTTTTAAAAGTTTGGTTATCAATACAAAAGTACTGGCTAATCAGACATGCTAAGGGCTGGTAGATGGCAGTAATTCATTGGTGTCAACTTTAATGTGGTCAGTTGTGTATGTTGCCACTTCTAGAAGCATCATTGTATGGTGCAAAGGCACAAAGGTGAGAAGTGAATGCTTTGCATTCTGTGCCTGGCTCACTAGTCCTTGTGAGTCCATAAAGACAGTGTTCCTAACTCCCTGGCAGTGAGCTTGCTACATGAATTTTTATTTTCCTAGAAGTAAGGTATTAATCCACACTATTAACAGTCTGTTTGCAACTAGTACACATACTGGTAAGTTGACTGGGAAGTTGGCTTTGCTACCAAATGGCTAAGAATCTCATCAACTGTAGTCATTTTAGCACCAGCCAAGTCACCAGCACAGCTAACTGAAATTATTACTCCTCCCCACACCTGAATTCATAATGATCACATAATTCTTATCAATACTGTGATCAGTTTTATAAATTTACTTGTTTTTTTTTTCCCTTTCCAAAAGAAATATTGAAAGTCTGTGTGCCAGACACTGTTGTAGGACTGGAGATCCAATAATGAATATAACTTGTAGATCTTACATTCTAGAAGAGGAGGGCTTTACATAGACATGTACACATGTATGTTAAGAGGATAAAAACATGAGGAAGGGGAAATATGTGTGTTGGGGAATGATGATAGGACTAGGAAAGGCCTTACTAAGATCACTTCTTTAATATAAACCCTTAAAGGAGCAATGCAGTCTGGAAGAGATAGCCTTTAGAAAATTTTTTAAGTATTATTAATGTGGAGTCTGTGAGATTTGTATGGCAGAAAGGAAGGAATACTGCATCTTAGTTTTCACAAACTAACTAAAATTTAGCCTTTCTTCCAAATCTAATATAAATAACCAACTATGCTATTATTGTCAGAACCTATAATTTTGTCAGAGAAAGATATTACAGGTAGATCATATTTCATTACATATTTCATTATTATAAACATCTCAAAATATTGTTTATGCTCATTACTACTTAAAAATTATGGTGGCTACTATCTCTGTTGCTAAATCTTATTGTGCCTTAATAAGGCACACTTACCAAATTTTATATTTACACATATTTAGTTATATCTCAGAATAGTAGATTTCCTTATATTCTTAGGTTTATAGCTTAAGAATTTAAAAAACATTGAGAAAGGGGCTAAGATTTCACTAGACTTCCCAAAGATGCTTCTGGCAGAGATTTATTAGACTTTAGCTTGATTCCTATTTTGAGAGCTTTCTTCCACCTCCCACAAGTAGAGTACTCTCTTCATTTGTTTTCTCCACTAGAGATTATTTAGATATGTCCTGGACACACAGGGAAGATTTTCTGGATAACTCCCTAAAGCTGTGATTTTGAAAGATCCATTTTAGCTTCCTGTTTAATACAGGCCTCACACTAATAAAATTCTTGCAGAACAGTAGAGCAAGTAAAACGGAAATTTGATGTCCAAGAAAATAATAATTGAATACAGATCATCTATTAAATGTCTTTGAAAGACATTGAGGACCATAAAGGCCTTGCAGTTCATTGTGTGAGAGTGATATGTACACATAAGGTTAGAATCATCTTACCCACTTGTACCAGTTTTCCTCTCCTCATCATGGTATTTACCAAGTGGGTCTGCAAGATTAAGGAATCATCAGCTATAAACCTAGTAACTTCACCTTGACCAAACGAGGGTATAAGATGCGACATCCAGGGGCCTGCCTGGTGGTACAAGAGGTTAAAATGCAGCACTATGAAGCTATCCATAGCCACTGATGCATGAGTTTTAAACCTGGTCAGGGAGGTGACCCACATGGCGTGGCAGATCTCTCCTGTCTTGTCCACTGCTCCCCTCAGCAGTGTACTTCGTGGATCTGCCTGTTCTGCTCCCTACTCTGTCTCTGGTGAGTCCTCTCACCCCCTGCATCTCTAGCCTATACCCCAGTTCTTGTATGCATAAATAAATAAATCTTTTTCTAAAAGATGGACATCCATTTTTGACTGTTAACAATGCAGCTGTAAGAATAGAATGGAGCATCTTTTATGCAGGTAAAAAAAAGGGGAGAATAAGCACTGGTTAAATGGGCATACAGAGATTTTACCCTGCCACTACAGGCCATATGCTTTAAATCTCTGAATAGATTCTATTACCTCTCATCAGGAGTTTAAAAAGTCAAAGGTAAAAGCCATCAACATCTTGTTGCTGCCAGAAACTGGAGTGAGAAGACAATTAACTCTAATTTTCACATTAGACAAACTTTGTGCTGTGCCTAATATGGGAGGAAGTTGATTCTGTGTCATTAAACCTCTTGGATTATATCTTCAACTGTGTTCTAAGGAATAGGCTTTTTTTTTTTTAATGTGCTGAAAGCTGTGCACGTTGTTATACTCATGTGTGTGGTTTATTTCCCTTTACAGGTTGGTGAAAGATGCTCCTTGGGATGAAGTCCCTCTTGCTCACTCTCTGGTTGGATTTGCCACTGCCTATGACTTCTTATACAACTACCTGAGCAAGACACAACAGGAGAAGTTTCTTGAAGTGATTGCCAATGCCTCAGGCTATATGTATGAAACTTCATACCGGAGAGGATGGGGATTTCAATACCTGCACAATCATCAGCCCACTAACTGCATGGCTTTGCTCACAGGAAGCCTAGTTCTAATGAATCAAGGTACATGTGAACACTGCTGAAAGAATGCCCAAGCTGATATCAGTCATAGTTGCCAGGCTGTGAGCAAAGAATGTTTGTAACTAGTCTTATTACATGGGCATACTTGAACCCCTGAGATAATACTAAGGCGTCTTAGAGAACTGAGAGACATCTCTTTCCTCTTCTGCTAGTTATGTTAATTTGCAAGTTATTTTCTTAAGGCTTTTAGTTGTTATAAACTAAACAGAAATTTAATTTATGGTATTTAAGGAACACTTACTTAAGAGGATGAATGTTCATCCTAGCTCCCTTTGCCCTCTACTCTCACAAAACTAAAACATTTAAAAAATTAGAATGCAAACCATATGAAAACCCACCCTCAAACTATTTAGAAACCTTAGGGGCTGTGAGATGGCAGAAAGAACCATGGAGTGAGCTAGATTTTAACCTGGAGATTTTGGGTTTACTCTAGTAGAGTTTTAGTTCTTAAAATTTTAGTCTGTAACAGAAGAAACAGAGCTTGTCTTCATTCTTTGAGTAGATAAAATTGTTACTGATAATAAGCAGGCACCTAAAATGCTGGTTCAGAATGTATCAAAAGCTGGTATCTTCTTTTGCAGGAGTTTTCACTGCATTTATTTTCTTTTTAAAGTTATGAGTTGCTCTGGGCCATAGTCTTCTTGGGCTCCATGCAGTGCACACAAACAAAAGAAGGTGTGAGCCCTCTCGTCCTTACGAAGCAGACTTATCCCATGCCGCTTTCTTGGCACATTCACTGTGGCTTCAGAAGCTACGTTGGCCAGGCTGCTTCAGTAACTCCATGTTCTCCAGACCCACTTGGTAGATACTAACAGGTGCATTTAAAGAGTGCATGTGGCTCGCATTGGACTCACATAAAATCTCAAGAGTGAAAGAATTAGAATTTTCTGTTTTGGTAAGCCTTTCTAAGGGCAGGTGCCCAGAGACCAGAGGATCACATGTAAATAGTTTACAAATCAATTATAAAGAAGACAGATGTAAAAGTGTAAGTGATTTCACAATACTTAACAGTAGCACCAGGGAATGAAATAAGAGACACTTATGAATTTATGGTTAACTATCAAATGTAGTAAATTTGAATTCAGAGAGCAGTACTCTTTAGGTGAATCTGAGCAGATCATGGAACTTTGAAGGATTGGTAGCATTTGACTAAGTGAAAACAATGAAGAGCATGCTAGACAGGGTGTATGGATGTTGGAAAATAAAAGGCAGAGTATCAGGCAAAGCCTGGTACCTCACATTGACAAAGCTGAAGTTACAGAGTACGTCGGTAGACGTCTTATTTCTCCTGAAAAGAGTTGTTGTGGGGGGGAATAAGGAAAAATCAGATAATGTGAGAAATCTAGGGAACAATGAGTAGCAGCCCTGGGTCTAAGCTCCATCATATTGGTATCTGGTTGGTGATGAGGGATACAAAAATGAAAATGACTGAAATCTTTAACTCTCATGATTGTATAATGGAAACTGAAAACTCTAAAAAACTGGTATGTCAGATATGGAGATGGATAGGAGACAGTATCAGGGGACAGTTAGTAGTCCCCTCTGCTCAGCCCAGCTTGAGGACAGTGCTACTCGATGAGAAGAGAGCCTGCTCTTTGGTTAAATTGGGACCTGGGGTTTAGGCTGGGCGCTGATGGACCTGAGTCTCTCAGCCCCACTCCCTCACCCTTTCCCTTACTCCCAGACCCCTTGTAGCCATGGTAACATGGTAAGCACAGATCATCAAACACAAATCTGTGGGAGTCAAGTTCAACATCCCACCCAACATGAGGAGCAGTGAACCTAAATTTGTCCTAGGTGTGTTTTAAATATAAGTAAACAAAACAGACTTTAAAAGTTCAGATTCAGAGATTCAGATCAAAGTTAATTCATTTTCAGTCATGTGCCAGAGGTCCTGAACAAGTTAACCTTTCTGTAATGTTGGAGTAATAATGTGTAATTGAGTTGTTAAAAGGATTAAGTAAGATTATGTTCATTGCTGTGTAAATTATTAAATGTTACAGAAACATGAGGAGTTGTTACTGCCGAAATGCTAGCCTCACAAGAATAATAGAAAGCTAGTACTTCTGAATTGAAAGGATTTTATTTAAAAAAAAAATAGAACTTTAATTTTCAACTGGGAAGACTGAAAAATATGCCAGATTTACGTGCTTAAACAAAAACCTGTAGCTCACATTATGCAGATTCTGGACTTTGGGCTGAGATTCTTGCCCTTAGGGTGCCACTCCAGTCCTTTCACCCTATTAAGCTGCCTCTTTAGTTCTGTGGAATCTAAAAGTTCATACACGATGAAAATTGAATTTTATTCACAACAATGTGAAAGCCGTTTACCCTTTTGTATTTGCAGCTTATTACACACCCAAAAAACATCAATGAAAGTTTTGTAAAGATATAAACATCACCATTTTTTAAATAGGATGTTATTAGGGAAATTAAAGAAACATCTCTATACAGATCTTCTTGCAAAGTTATGTGCAATTTGCAATCATAAATGATGCAGTTGAAGTTTATATAGGCTTATAAAATAACTGGTGCTTCCTTACAGGTTTGTTTTTACTTCATTAATGAAGGGTCTATATTCAGGGTCCCTCAAAACCTGGATTAGCAGGATTTTATTTATAATGTCAATAAATGAATGTTTTATGAAACAAAATTTGTAATAAAAACTAGTCAGATATCTCAGAGGAGTCTGCTTTGCCACTGTTTGTTTCTGCTTTGTTATAGTCTTAGTCATTGTTTTCATCCTTCAGGGTATCTTCAAGAAGCCTACTTATGGACCAAGCAAGTCCTGACCATCATGGAGAAGTCTCTGGTCTTGCTTCGAGAGGTGACAGATGGTTCCCTCTACGAAGGAGTTGCATATGGCAGCTATACCACTCGATCTCTCTTCCAGTACATGTTTCTCGTCCAGAGGCACTTTGACATCAACCACTTTGGCCATCCCTGGCTTAAGCAACACTTTGCATTTATGTATAGGACTGTCCTGCCAGGTATCGTGAATAATTGGAAGTAGGAAAACGTACCATTATAATTATGATGATGAGGATGAAAAAGGTTTAGAAATCTGGGGTTTATGTTATACTTAGACTAAAGGATTTTTTAAATATCAAAGAAGAATTCAATTTGAGAGCTGTAAATTGCCAGAACATTTTGAATGCTAAGGTGAGAATTTAAGATTTAGATATTGCAGAACTTGAAGTATATAACAAATCAAATATAATTTTTAACTTCCATGTAGTCGTGTTTTTGTATATGTAAAAGTTGGCACTTGTAAAACTCATTTACATCAATTGAAGCAGAATATATATAATTACATGTTTATTTTCCTTTATGTGCAATTTCTGATCAGAATTATTTTTCCTTAGCTTTCAGTTTTTTCTTCCACACTATTCAGATATGATTTAAAATGAAAGATTACAATTGTAATACTTAAGTTGGAACTTTAATATTTTAAAACAATTATTGAAGTGAATATTATAAATCAAAGCAACTATGTAAGACATAAATAGCTACAAAGCTTCTGATTCTTTTGACCTGTAACTTTTTGATTTTCTATATAATTGAGGTAACATTGTTGTGCACTACTGTGTATATCTTAGGAGTCACCTTCACACTTCTTCAAATGTATGACATCACACCACATCTACTACCAAAAGTTCAAGTAACCTTCCACCAGTTTCTTGGACCTCTTGGCATAGACCTCTTGCTCCCAATCCTGAGCCTTCCCCTCTGATAACCACAGTTCTGTTGTCAGAATCCAAGGGGTTCTTTTAGTTTTGTTTTGTCTGTTTATTTGCTTTGTGTTTTTATCTTCCATAGATAAATGAAGTCATCTGATACTTGTCTTTCTCCTCACTTATTTCAACTAGCATAATCCCTTCAAGTTCTGCCCCGTTGTCACAGCAACATTTCACCTTTTTTTTAGTCACAAGAACTTAATTTTTTTTAAAGATTTATTTATTTATTCATACAGAACTAGGGTACAGGCCAGAGATGCGGAGGGTGAGAGGATTCACCAGAGACAGAGTGTGGAGCAGAACATGCAGTTCGACAAGTAAACTACTGAGGGGAGCAGCAGGCAGGTCAGGAGAGGTCTGCCACGCCATGTGGTCACCTCCGGGGCAGGCAGGAATTGAACTGATGCAGAAGTGGCTTTAGCTTCTCAGTGCAGTGCTTTAACCCGCTGCGCCACCAGGGAGGGCCAAACTTAATCATTTTTAAGAGAACCTTGTAACAAATCTTATTATTTCTATAAACTGGATTAAGACTGCCCTCTGCCCCTCCCCAGTTAAATGCAATGTTTAGATGATTCTAGTTCTACAGTAAAGAATCCAGTTGTTTTGGGCCCATTAGTTGGATTTACTCTCCATCATTGTTTTCGTTATCAAATATACTGCAGAGGGAAGGATTAGGATTTAGATTAGGCCCTTCCTAGTGGTGCAGTGGGTTAAAGCACAGCACTAAGAAGCTTAAAGCCACTTCACCATGAGTTTGTTCCCCGCCCCAGATGTGACCCCCATGGTTCGGCAGACCTCTCCTGACCCACTCGTTGCTCCCCTCAGCAGTGTACTTAGTTGATCTGCCTGTTCTGCTCCCCACTCTGTCCCTGGTGAATCCTCTCACCACTCCTGCATCTCTGGCCTGTACCCCAGTTCTTTATGCATATATAAATTAATCTTTTTAAAAAAAAAAGATTTAGATTAGACTTATATTCGAAACCATGGTTTTTTTTGGTTTTTTTTTTTTACATAGACAAGCAGAAGTATATTTGTGTAGTTTATCTTGGTAAATAGTGGTCATGTGAAGCATGTGGCCTTTAGAGGCCTCAGTGCTTAGTAATTTGATCTGCAGTCTAATAGCCAGCCTTGTCTAGCAAGCCGTGTCTCATGTGAGCTGTGTATGTCGTGGCCTGTTAAGCTTGAAGACATTTAAGAGCACCTTTAAGAGGAGGATTTATAAATTAGTGTAATTAATTTCAAAACCTTTATTGAACATCTGTGCGCTTGCCATTATATTAGGTCAGGGATTCAGAGAGTAATAAAATGTATCATCTGCTTTCAAGGTACTCATAGCCTAATAGAAGATTCAGAATATCACATTTTGTAAAAGATTTACTTGAAAGAGCATGTTCTAAGCTGATAGAGACAAAAATATTAGCTGTAAATTATGTAAATATGGGGTCATGAAAGCACTTTAGAAGGGATTATTTAAGTTAGTCTATTGTCAGCATTTCTCTTCTTTCTGCAAGTGCTATGCTAGCAATAGTTATTCCTGTCTGACCTGAAGTTTTCTTCCATTCCTTTTTTCAAGAATGCCTGGAACATATCCAATCTTTCCTGCTTTTGTTTTTCTGACATATTCTGGCGTGATCTTTACCTTTTCTTTCTTAGTTAATATGCAGCAGTGCATACTGACAGGATCCTATATGGGAATTGTTAAGCTTTCTTCCTAGAGAAACTCACTTTTGCCCTTAAACCTTAGAACTTCCATTTATTAGATGTCAAAGAGAAGCACTCTGTGCTGTTCTGTTAGCCTAGGATATGAGATGAGTTGGTGTAAGAACTGGTGTGCATCCATGTTCAGGAGCTCACCCTGCCCTGGAGGACAGCCCAGGTATCTCTGCTGTTACAACTGTGTAGAGAGTAGAAACCATGGAAAGTAAACAAGGTAAGCACGACATGTAGGTGTTACAGTTGTGGCATTTCCATTACAAGTGACAAATTGCCACATTAAAAAAAAAAACTTGCACCATCTGTGGAATACCTTGCTAGGGATTTTGGTTAACTGGCTTGGAGTGTAGCATAGGCATAGTGGATTTGTTCGTTATTTTTCTCTAAGATACACAACATATTCTAATTTGCAACCAGGGTTGAAAATAATTGTTTAATCTTTTATAGAGCTATACAGTTTAAAACTTGTTTTAATTCTTCCTTAGGATTTCAAAGAACTGTGGCTATTGCAGACTCAAATTACAACTGGTTTTATGGTCCAGAAAGCCAATTAGTGTTCCTGGATAAATTTGTCATGCGTAACGGCAGTGGCAACTGGCTGGCTGACCAAATCAGAAGGAACCGTGTGATGGAAGGTCCAGGGACACCATCCAAAGGGCAGCGCTGGAGTACTCTTCATACAGAATTTCTCTGGTATGACACATGGAGCTGGCTGTCGAGGAATCCTACACAGGGATACATACAGTCTGTTAGTCTTTTGCATTTAAAGAGAGAACTAAAGCACCCTTTATACCCTTTTCCATGCCTCTTAAGTATTTATGGCTTCCATTCAATGCATATCACAATGCTAAAACACTTCTATATATTTAAGATCTCATTATAGCATTTTTTTTAATTTTCTTGTAGTAGAGACCTTCTAGACTGCTGTGATTTCATAGATTTGAATATTTTGTATCAGTTTTTAAAGCATAAAGAGGAAACTACAATATGTAGGTTGAGTTATTCTGATAATCATGTCAATAAATAAATGTAGTCACAGTTTGTTTTGGTAAATAGAGCATTATGATCTAATAGCAAAATTCATACTAAATTTTCAAAACTAAGTGTTTGAAAGTATTTGACAGTTTCACTTTGATAATAAAAGAACTTTTTTTTTTTTTTGACCTTAGTCTTTGAAATTCAGAAGGAGAAGCCAACATTTCCTTTTTAAAGCACTGCCAAATAATTGTTGGCATCCAATAAATTAAAATAAAAATTATAGGGAGTTAGTTAATCATTAATCCCTGATGTCTTTTCAAGCTATTGAAATTTGCATTCAGTTCCAAAAATAAGATTCTCTGGTTTGATTGCTTCGCTTCATTATTTTTTTCAAATGTAGACAATTAAGAGGTAAACAACATTAGTAAGGTGATAACTGCCTATAGTTTACCCACCATTTTATTTATTTTTAAAAAATTTACTTATTTATGCATACAAGAACTGGGGTACAGGCCAGCGGTGTGGTGGTCAAAGGATTCACCAGAGGCAGACTGGAGAGCAGAACAGAGATATCGAGTGAAATACTTTGCTGAGGGGAGCAGGGGTGAGACAAGAGGGGTTTGCCACACCATGTGGATCACTTCCCTGGCCTGGGATAGAACTCATGCTGCAGTGGCTGTGGAGAGCTTCATAGTGCTGCACTCCCTGTTGTGCCAACAGGGAGGGTCCTACCCAGTATTTTAAAAACAATTTCACAGATGAACTAAGTTTGTTAATATGCTACCATTCTTGAAACTTTTGGTATTTGAAGTAATTATTTAATAGTGTTTTTTTCTTACTCATAAGTAAACAACCAAGAGAGTTCTATAAAGTTCTGTATCTAATTTGGTTCAAAAATCTGTGTTTATAGAAATATACAAGCTGAGTAAAAGCAGAAATGGTTGACCAGTTCAACTAGTATTTGGACTTGTTAAATCACAGTAATTAAGCCAACATGATACTAGATTTAAATTGAAACCCAATTTCTAATATCCTGAAACTAAGACTTTAGAAACATATGAAACAGCCAAAATAAAAACCAGTGGGATTAACTGTACCATAGGCGATTCATTTTTGAAAACGTATCCACGTGCTAGCAACATGGGTCTGCCTTTCTTCCCATGTGCAGGAAATTACACAAACCTGTCCAGGCTGTTATCCCAAATAATCAAAAACAGTCATTATTATTTTTGTTACCTTTCTGACTCAAAAAGAATTTTAAATTACTGTGTAAGTTTAAAATGAATTATTGTATTCCTTTGATTAAAAACATAATACATACATAAAAATGAAAAGTCAGGCCCTCCCTGGTGGCACAAAGGGTTAAGATGCAGCACTGCAAGCTGGCCACAGCCACTTCAGTGTGAGTTCGATCCCCAGCCTCGGAGGTGACCACATGGCACAGCAGACCTCTCCTGACCTGCCTGCTGCTCCCCTCAGCAGTGTACTTCATCAATCTGCCTGTTCTGCTCCCCACTCTTGCCTCTGGTGAATCCTCTCACTGCCCCTGCACCCCAGGTATGTATGCATAAATAAATAAATCTTAAAAAAAATGAAAAATCACTGTTGTCCAAAGTACATGGCATCCACTACAAATTTAAATAGAATGACATGTTTAGATCTGGGCTAAGCTGTAGTAGCCACAACTATAATATCTCCAGTATTAGATTGTTACCTGAATTTCGTCCATTTGTATTCTTAGATATAGTATTGACAGTAAGTATTATCTAAAATGAGAATTTCTATTTTAATTATACTTTGAGAGGTTAAGAAGTTGTCAGTCATAACTTCAGTAATATCTGGTATTACAGACCAGTGTCCTTCATTACATCTTGGCTGTTAGAATCCAGGTCCTAACATGGGCTTCTCTAGAACAGGAGTCCCTCACCTGGATGTGTAGATGAAGTGCTTATTAATTCTCTGAGCCCTAGTCATGTGTCGAAGTACTGAAAACAGTAAGTGAAGAAGGCGCATGAAGGAATTAGCGGCAGCAGTCATTTCGGGCTCAAGCCCAAAGACCTCAAGGTGTAAGCATGTCCTCCTCTCTACTTCCCCTCGGGTGTGCCCCTCCTGCATGTTGATCATTCATGAGTGACTTCAGAAATGTCCTTAAAACAATCCACACTGTCACTTCTCTGGGCAAACATATTATTTTGTAGTTTCATGTGACATCACAATTTTACTGTTATTTTCACTCCATTAGAAAACCTCTTAACTTTTATAAATTAATTTTTTCAGGTATGATGCCAGCTTGAAATCTGTACCTCCTCCAGACTTTGGCACCCCTACATTGCATTATTTTGAAGACTGGGGTGTTGTGACCTATGGAAGTGCACTGCCTGCAGAAATCAATAGATCTTTCCTTTCTTTTAAGTCAGGAAAACTTGGGGGACGTGCAATATATGACATTGTCCACAGAAACAAATACAAAGATTGGATTAAGGGATGGAGAAATTTTAATGCTGGACATGAGCATCCTGATCAAAATTCATTTACGTTTGCACCCAATGGTGTACCTTTTATTACTGAAGCTCTCTATGGGCCAAAGTATACCTTCTTTAACAACGTTTTGATGTTTTCCCCAGCTGTGTCAAAGAGCTGTTTTTCTCCCTGGGAGGGTCAGGTCACAGAAGATTGTTCATCAAAATGGTCTAAATATAAGCATGACCTGGCCGCTAACTGTCAAGGGAGAGTAGTTGCAGCAGTGGAGAAAAATGGGGTGGTTTTCATCCGAGGAGAAGGTGTGGGAGCATATAACCCTGAGCTCAAGCTGAAGAATGTGCAAAGGAATCTGATCCTCCTACATCCACAGCTTCTCCTCCTTGTGGATCAGCTCCACCTGGGAGAAGACAGCCCCTTGGAGACAGCAGCAAGCTTCTTTCACAATGTGGATGTTCCTTTTGAGGAGACCGTGGTAGATGGGGTCCACGGAGCTTTCATCAGACAACGAGATGGTCTGTATAAAATGTATTGGATGGATGATACTGGCTACAGTGAGAAGGCAACCTTTGCTTCAGTCACATATCCTCGGGGCTATCCCTACAACGGCACAAATTATGTGAATGTCACCATGCACCTCCGAAGCCCTATCACCAGGGCAGCTTACCTCTTTATAGGGCCATCAGTAGATGTTCAAAGCTTCAGCATTCACGGGGATTCCCAACAGCTGGATGTGTTCATAGCCACCAGTGAACATGCCTACGCCACTTACCTATGGACAAGTGAGACCACAGGACAGTCTGCCTTTGCCCAGGTCATTGCAGATCGTCAGAAAATTCTGTTTGACCGGAGTTCAGGCATCAGGAGCACCATTGTCACTGAAGTGAAGGACTATGCTGCAATTGTGGAACAGAACCTGCAGCATTTTAAGCCAGTTTTCCAGCTGCTGGAGAAGCAGATCCTGTCCCGAGTCCGCAACACAGCTAGCTTTAGGAAGACTGCTGAGCGCCTGCTGAGATTCTCAGATAAGAGACAGACGGAGGAGGCCATTGACAGGATTTTTGCCATATCACAGCAACAGCAGCAGCAGCAGCAGCAAAGCAAGTCAAAGAAAAACCGAAGGGCAGGTAAACGCTATAAATTCGTGGATGCAGTCCCTGACATTTTTGCACAGATTGAAGTCAATGAAAAAAAGATTCGGCAGAAAGCTCAGATTTTGGCACAGAAAGAACAGCCCATTGATGAAGATGAAGAAATGAAAGACCTTTTAGATTTTGCAGATGTAACATATGAGAAACACAAAAATGGCTTGATGAAAAGCCGGTTTAGGCAGGGGCGGATGGGGACAACCACTCACAGCCAAGCCCCATCACTATCTGCCTCCTATACCAGACTGTTCCTGATTCTGAACATCGCTATTTTCTTTGTCATGTTGGCAGTGCATCTGACTTATTTCCATAGGGCTCAGAGCCTACATGGTCAAAGGTGTCTTTATGCAGTCCTCTTAATAGACAGCTTTATTTTATTATGGTTGTACTCGTCCTGTTCCCAGTCACAGTGTTAACACTGAAGCTATAAATTGCTTCATCATTGTGGTCACAAGAGTCTATACCAAAAAAAGAAAATTCGTTGCCCTAGTTTGCTACTGGGTTTTTTTTTTTTTTAATTAAATGGAAGGGGTTTTCACGCAACAATATAGGGACATGTAGAAACCAGAACTGAACTAGGAAAGAATTTATCAGAGGAATAAGAGAAAGCTTGGTGTTGCATGATGTTTCTGAAGGTGTTTGATGTGGCTGATTTAGCAGTTCCTATAACAATACTTTTAGAAGAAACACAGAATCTGTTAAGTAATATTTTTCCTTAAAAGAAACAAAAAATATGTAGAAGTGGGTTTTATTAATTTAATATTATTAGCAATTTCCAGATACTATCTTAAGGAAAAAACTGAAACACACAATTCCAAGAAATACCGAAAATTCTTAATTGTTTGGTCATGTTGAAAAAGAAGTGTTACTAAGTCCTTCAGATTCCTCGGAATCAGGTATTAGTGGGATTTGCTTATTGGATTGCTATTCAGGTAACATGGTAAAATGATAGTGGAAGATCATTAAAAATGTTAGATATATTTTCAGTTGAAAACATCTGTAAATGAATATTCTCTTGATGATGTTGGTCTCTGCACATCTATTGGTTTTTCAATAAATAAGATAGTTACCGGTAACTTAATTTTTCATGCCTTATGTGGAAAGTTGTAAACCTAATGATTATACATCAAAATAAAATATTTTATATTCCAAACCCTGATTTCAATACCAAAGAAGATGGGGGGTGTTTAAGTTTGGATATAATTCTTACTTTTTTTAATATAAAACTTTTCAAGTTTATTTTGCTAAATAAACATCATAATTTTTATTTCTCTGTAGTGTCTTTGGTTCATTACATTCAACATGGATATAATTTAAAATTTTTGAAGAGAAATGTTTGTTTAGCCATGTGTTCATTAAATTTATAAATTAGTGCCTTAAATGCTGTTTATTTACCTTTTTACTGCTTTCCCTTATTTACCTTTTGACTATTTAAGTATATTTTAACAAAAGCCAACTCTTGATATTTAAATAACACCAAAGTTAAGACTTAAAATTTTCAGCTATATCCATTCAAGTTCTCAGGAGTTAATAGCTACCAAAAATACTGGAAATTTTTCTTAGTCTATACTTCAGCACAAGCAAATGATACACTTAAAAGGAAATTAAGAGCAAATTGTCTTACATTCAACACATTTGACTCTTACATATTTCTTGAAAACAAAAAAATGTTTGGCTCAGATTTCATGGTAAAGGACACCTTCACTGATGGGTAGATCTGAATTAATTTTTTCATCTTGTCCTTTTGTTCATACATGTCCCAGTATGTAACTGAGAACAAAACACAGAGAAGTTCTATGAGCACCTTTTTGCAGTTCTAATTTTGAATCCTCTAACATAAAGAAAACAAGAGGTTTAATTTTTAGCCATGCTTCACTCATTATACTGGGAATCTAAAAAAATGAGTTCTGAAGTTCTTTTTTTTTTTTTTTTTCAGGGAAAACATCTCTAGGGAGGATGTCATTACATACTGTTTAAAAGAAAAATGTTTTCAAGAGAATAATGCTTCCGTCTGTCCTGCATGAATGCTGTTGCTGGAATTTAAACTTGCTTTATGTGACAGATTCTCCCTTTACTTAACCTTGTTTGACATTCCTCTCTTCTACTCTTTCTCATTCAAAAGGATGAATTGTCTTAAATGAACAAAAGGGAAAATTGCTCTTTGAGCCTATCGAAGATCTCAGATGCCAAAACCATGGCTTATATTCTAATAGAGATAAAAAGGGCAAGTGACTGCCAAATCCAGCCTTCTTTGGCTCATTTGTTTGCTCAGGTGTCTTAGTAGGGTGAAACCATAAATTAGTCACAATAGTAAGATCCAACCTAATATATTAGCTTATTTTTAAGTAATTTTTAAAAATATGAATCTTTAAATCAAAATGAATGGATAGATTTTTTCTCTCTTTCAAAGTTTGTATTTATTTCATGCAAGATTTCACTTATTAGTACTATGATATATTATTTTCTTTATCTGATGTACTCAAGGACCAACCATCTTATCTCAAATGGCAGTATATTCTCTTTTCTCATGACTGAGTAATCTTCCCTTGTGTATATATATATACCCCATCTTTTTAACCATTCATCTGTTGATGACATACAGATTTTCAGAATGGCATCATCAAGAAGATAAGACACCACAGGTTCTAGTGAGTCTGTGATGAAAAGGGAACCTCCTTACACACCGTTGGTGGAAAATGTAAATTGATCTTCTATGGAAAACAACTTGGAGGGATCTACCATATGACCCATCAGTTCTACTTACGGGTACATATAACCAAAGGAAAAAAGGACTTTGAAGCTATTTATGTGTATTGCAGCATTATTCTCAATGGACATGATATCCTCACTCTTGGTTTGTGCCTTCCAGAGTGGTTAGCAGCTGATTATCTTAGCTGTCACATCCTTGCCCTTGTTTATGATAAGGTCTACAACTCCCTACCTATGAAGACTATTTAGCTCTCTCATCTCTCTTCAAAACTGTTTTATTTACTCCCAGTCTTTAAACAGTTACCATAATTCTGTCAAGGTCAATATTCGGTATTTATGTTTTAATGTAAACATCACTTACCAATTAGTCATACTATTTTACTTCCTTTCATGTACAACTTTGGTTCCCCCAGGGTTAATGATTACTTCATTTTTTTTTTATTTGCTTAGTTGTCAAGCCATCCCATTTATCTTCAAATTGCTCAATTTAATTGTGTATCTCCTCAGTCTGTATTCAATCACAGCTGTGTAATCTGGCAGTTGTTTTACTTTTGGTGGGTTTTTGTTGTTGTTCTTGGGACCCACCCTCCTTTCCTCTCACCACCTGAACTACTGCATATTGGTTGTCCTCACTCCTGTCTCCATTCTGACTGTTCTGTAGGCTTTTCTCTGGGTAAGTTCCGTTTTCTGAATCTGTGTTTTACTTTTTCTCTTTTGATGCCCGTTGGGTGGAATGTATCCTCCAGATTCCTGAAAAATGACATATAGTGAATAAATATTTTGCCTCTCCATGTCTGGAAGAAAAAATTAGTCCTTTGATTGTTCACTTTGCCAACGATTATAGGTTGCAGGAGTGACTCCATGATCTTCTAATTTTTGCTGTTGATTAGTGTGAAATCTTTTCCTGGGTTTTTTCTTGGACAGAGTAATCTTAACCAGAGAAAAACTGGGTTCCTTCCTGGTTTCTTTGGTGGAAGGGTCCTGGAGGAGGAGATTGTTTAATCCACTTAACTGCTTGTCTTCTTAAGGTCAAGTGGAGAGAGAGAGAGCTAGAGGTCTCTGGTAAGTAGATATTAGTTTATGCAAATGCTTCAGTCTCACTCTCAGCTATGCTGTGTCTTTAAATCAGAATCCCTCTGCTCAGACTCCTTTTTAGCAGGAGGCCAGTTTGAGTGCACTCCAATTCTGGAGACACCTTGCAGGTCAGCTGAGTGAACTGACTTGTTCCGGTCACCTCCAACCCCCTTGTCTTGATGGCTTAGATTTCAGCCTCCTGGTTGATTATCACTCTTCCAGCATCGATAGACTTGCTGTATTCTCCATTTGTTCATTCTCCAAATTGTTTTTTGGGAACTCACTGAATTAAGTATTGTTTGAGAACTTAGTATCGCCTTAGTGGTTAATCCACCATGTTGTTGCTTAGAGTCTAGAAATGGGTCTGAGAACTCAACATAATTTTAAAGTAAATGATTAAATCTAATAGGTGCCGTAGGTGGGGGTAGGAAAGGCAGGATAAGGAGACTGAGAAGGGGAGGGTATAGTTTAAAATAGATTGGTCAGGAAAGGCCTTGTGATGTCCCTACCTCCATTTTTTTATTATTATTATTTTAAACTTTACTGTCAATTTAGTGTGCTTTTAGAAAGAAGCAAATTCATGTGTCCAATCTAATATGTTTAACCGGAAGACCCACCTCACTCTCAGGTGGTTGACAAGTAATAATGGCAATAACACATGCTTACTGAACATCTATGTCATTGCTATTTTAGGAACAATATAAAACCTGGGGTAGTTTATGTTCTGATATCTGAATGAATGTGGGAGTGGAAAAAAAATCAATGAAAATACAATATGTAAAGTGGTGACAAGTGCTTTAGAGAATCCAGCAAGGGGAGGGGAGGTAAAGTGAAGATGAGTTGGTGCTACTCTATAAAAAGTAATTTCGGATGTTATGACATGAATCAGCACTTAAGTGAGGTTTTGAACCACAGCAACACTAAAGGAAAAAAGCATTCTGGGTAGAGAACAAAGTTACAAAGGCCTGTGAGGTCAATATGTGTTTGGAGTTTTAGTATTAAGAAGCCAATGTGGGGCCCTCCCTGGTGGCGCAGCAGGTTAAAGCACTAAGAAGCTAAAGGCACTTCAGTGTGAGTTCGATCCCCGCCTGCCCCGGAGGTGACCCACATGGTGCGGCAGACCTCTCCTGACCAGCCGCTGCTCCCTCAGCAGTGTACTTTGTTGATCTGCCTGTTCTGCTCCCCACTCTGTCTCTGGTGAATCCTCTCACCGCCCCTGCACCTCTAACCTGTACCCTAGTTCTGTATGCACAAATAAATAAGTCTTTTTTTAAAAAAAAAAAAGCCAATGTGACTGGAGCAGGAAGTGAAGGAGAGTGATGGGAAGCAAGATCTGATTGTACATGTTTCCATAGATTGTAGGAAAGATTTTGATTTTGATGTGAAGAGTGTGCTGGAAGAATGAGGTGCGATTAGCCACGGTATGGTGGGCTCCAGGAGGGAATTGTGACTCAGTTCTTAAATACCCAGGATAAGGTGTGAAAACCTAGGATCCAGGAGCGGGCTGTTTGGCAGAAGATAATGGTTGGTGCCATCCTAAAGGCCAAATAGATTACACTAGCTATATAAAAGGAGAAATGCATTCTAGGGAAATGGGATAGCAGAAAGGGAGAGATGTGAAAATAGAAAAATTCCCTCAGGTTGATGTGCTTATCTCAAAGGGCATGTAATGGCAAGTGGCTGAAATGAGGTTGAAAAGCATCCCAGGGAGACTCCTGTGCTTGCAAGTTGTATGACTTGGTGAGGCATTTGGACTTTTTCCTGCTGTGTCTTTATATAAGTCTCAACATAGAGGGACAACACATGCCACTGCAGGACCAGCATGGCAGCAGTTTTCTCTGGGAGCAGAATGGTGTGAGAGGCAAAAGGGACTTGAGTGAGGTCACGCACCCCCATGTGCATGTAGGGTTTTGAAAAATCCTTGAGGTGGTAGTAACACCTCATTCCTCATACATGCATATACTCTGGTGGAGGGCGTCCCTCTAGTTGGAAATCACCACAAGCAAAAACGGAAGGATTTTCTTGTGAAATAATAAGATTTGCATTTTAGAAAGACAACTTAAAAAACAAAATGGGGCCCTCCCTGTGAAGCCAATTCAGCCCTGGAGGTGACCCACATGGCACAACAGACCTCTCCTGAACACCGGCTGCTCCCCTCAGCAGCATACTTTTTCTATCTGGCTGTTCTGCTCCCAACTCTGTCTTGGGTGAAGCCTCTCACTGCCTCTGCACCTCTGGCCTGTACTCAGTTCTGCATGCATAAATAAACCTTAAAAAAGAAAGGCAGGTGGATGGGGGCAGACAAGATGTCCCTTTTCTCCCTTGTGTCTAATTTTTTTTTAATAGTTGCAAGTGTATAAGCATTTTATTAACCCAGGTAGTTGGAGTACTTTCTGAATGAATAGAGTTAGGGTGTTGTCTCTCTTACATGCTAGAAATTAGTCACTAGGAAGGCTTTGTCGTGGAATTACCATATGATTTCAACAG